AGCTAGAAGCGGAGGCCAGGCTGATTTACGAGGATGGAGCCTTCGGGGAGCTCCGATGCGGCCTGGGAAGCTCCTATTCGTGACGCTGCCCTGGGCTGGCCCTGCCGCCCGCTGGCCTCCGCCCACACCTATTTTGAGCATTTTTAATATTTTCATAAGGACTCTGGGGCAGATGATTTATGGCTCCCTCTCCCCTTCCAACCCTTGTACATGGCCGTGGCAAATGCATCTGGAAAGGACAGGAGAAAATACAGATGAGTGAGAAAGGCGCCAATGAGGCGATCTCGGCCACACTCACTTGAGTTAGAAGGGTCAGGCCTAGCCCCTGGAGCCCAGGGCAGGAGCCAGGCTGAGCAGCTGTCTGTGGCTCTCCAAAGCATCACAACGTTAGAAATGAACTTTGGAGCGCGCAGACCTGGCAGACGAGGCTGCTGAGGCCAACTCTGAAACAAGCAGTTCAGAGGGCAAAGCGATTTGGGCCGCATTTGGGCCGTGCTGGCACTCCCCCGGCCTTTCCATTTGAGAGCAGTAATTCATTGTAAGATGGAAACTACTTAGAGATAACTGGAGAACATTGGCCTTTAACACACATAAACAAAGTGGTTTCAAAGGAAGGGCGCTTGTTGGCCCTCCAGCCAGCCAAGGCAGAAAGCCCTGCTCCAGCTCGGAGACCTGCAGTGAGGCCTTCCCAGTGCCTGTGGGGTACCAGGAGCGGGGATTCTGCCTTTTGTCCCGGGGCTATATCTTGCTAGCAGTGTGCTGGGAAGGCAGGCGGGGACCCGGACCCCCACACACCCTTGAGGGCCTCCAGCCTGCAGATCCCTAACCCCGGTCCCAGGCAGTGTGGGCCTGCTTGGCAGGTTTGGTGCAGGGGAGGAACGATCCATCAGGGAGGTCCACAAAACTGACCACAGTTGGGGTGGGGGTGGGGAGGGCTCTTGGGCATGCAGGATGATGGACAGCAACAGGGAGGTGAGGATGGGCCACAGGCAGAGCAGCTGCGTGCGTGGTGTGGTGTGTGAGGTAGATGGGAAATCGGGGGTGGGGGGGCACGAGGCAGCATCTGTGGAGGTGAAGGTGAGGAAGACAGATGCCAGGTCACAGGGATACCTGAGGCCACACTGAGGATCCAGGCCACGCCTTCAGGGCAAGGTAGCCGATGGTTCGTTTTGGTAATTGACACATATTAACTGTATATATTATATATTTATGAGATACAATGTGATGTTTTGATATATGTTTACATTGTGGAATGTTTTAACAAGCTAATCAATAATCTTTCACCTCACATACCAATGTTCTTTTGTGGTGAAAACATTTAAAATCTACTCTTTTAGCAATTCTGAAATATACAATGCATTAGTATTTATTCTAGTCACCATTCTGTGCAATAGATCACTGAAACTTACATTTCTTATCTAACTGAGATCTTGTACCCTTTGACCTTGTCCCCTTGCCCCATCTCCCAGCCCCTGGTAACCACCATTCTGCTTTCTACTTCTAGGACTCTTTTTAGACTCCACATATTAAGTGATATTTCTCAAAAGAAGACATCCAAGCAGTGAACAGATCTATGAAAAAAAAAAAATGCTTGTCATCACAAACCATCAGGGAAATGCAAATTAAAAGCACAATGAGACATCACCTCCCCTGTTCGAATGACTTATCAAAAAGATGAAAGACAGCAAGTGCTGGTGAGGATGTGGAGGAAAGGGAACCTTGTGTGCTGTTGGTGGGAGTGGAAAGTCATACAGCCACTGGGTGGTGGGAGGAGAAAATGCAGTGATTCACTCAGCAGATACCCTCACTCATTCAGTGTTGACCAGCTGCTGTGCTCCTGGTCCTAGGTTGGGTGCCTACTAGAGGATGCAGAGACAGCATTTGAGCTAGACTGCTCTGGCACTGGCCTGGGGGCAGGGTGGGAGAGCGGAAAATGGTCATTCCTGTGAGAAGGTGGGATGGAAAGGAGAAGACAGATTGGGGATGGTAGGAGGCAGAGGGGGCAGGCTTAGAGATCACATGGGTGTGGACACGGCAGATGGGGTTGGCTGGGAGAAGTGGGTAGGGAAAGGTAGCACCAAGATAGCAAGTTCTGGTAGGCAGATGGCACAGTACTTCCCAGAGATAGAGACCAAGGAGCTGGTGAGTGCCCCAGGCCTGGATGTGGAACACATGAGGTCATGAGGAGCAACCACAGCAGCCATCGTGTGGGAAGCTAATATGTGAGTCTTAGGAGGAGATGGGGTGCCAAGGGTCAGTGGTGTTGTGTGTGTGAGTGCAGAGAGGAGGCCGTGGGAGGCCAAGGCAGTGGTCAGGATGCGAGGGGTGGAGCGAGCACCGAGGGCCTGGTGGAGGGACCTGAGGGGCGGACATTGCCATCTCACTGGCAGGTCAGGGAGAAGGTGGCCGGTGGCAAGGGCGTGCCTTCGGGTTATAAGGAGGGGTTCCTGTCCAGACTCTGGACATGTGTGGTTGGGAGACTTTGGGTAGCTTTTCTGAGCCTCAGGGTCCCTAAGTTAGATGGGGGTGATGATGCCTCCCTCGCAGGATGTGGGGGATTAACGGGTCAACCTTGGTGCTGACGTGCATAGAGTGTACAGTGAGACCCCAACCTCAGTGAGGCCTCTGCCCCCAGATGCAGCTGAAGGTTAGCACCCACCGACTGTAACATCATAAGGGGGCAGGACACACCCAGATATTTAAGACAAATTAGAAATCCTGGTTGGATGCCTCTTTCTGTGCATGTGAACACATTCTGGTTGGGACAGGGCCAGGGGCCTCTCAGAGCAACGGATGGGGCAGCCTCGAGGGGAAGGCCTTGCTTGCTGGGTATGCCCTACGGGTGGGCCTGAACTTTGTGGCCCAAAGGCCAGAGCCCCTTTTGGAGTAGCCCCTTTTGAAACGGTAAAGGGTTTTAGAAGGGATTCGTCGATGTGACGGTGGCTGAGGTTCATCTGAAAAAGCTCCCTGAGGAACCAAAGCCCAAGACTCACTGGATAGGAGATGTGTTCGGTGCAAACCAGGGTGCAGAGAACCTGGCATCAGGTTCCAGTTGCCAGTCGCCGGGCCAGCCCATGATCAGACAGCCTCAGGTGGAGGGAACATAGCTTCTGTGTCCCTGCCTGAATGAACGGTGGCACGGGAGTGGAATTTGAGGTGCCCTGGGAAACACGTAGAAATGCTGGAAGTGGGTGGGCAGGAACAGTCTTGGAGCACTGTGTGGACCTAGTCACAGACAAGCCCGGCTCACGTCATGCCTCATTCTGCTTATCTGTGTTGGCTGACCGCCTCAAGGCCAGCGAGGTATCAGGACCTACAAGTTTCCAACAGCTTTGCAGGCTCTGGAGGACAGCAGAAAGGTCACTGTCCACAAGCAGGCACTGCCACCGTGGAGAGGGGACACAGGTGTAAGGGACATATGCCTGGGTGGTTCAGGAGTACCATGGCTAGTCCAACCCCGTCACCCTACAGAGGAGGAAAACATGCTGAGGAGACTTTCAGGGACTTGTTTATGCCCCAGTTAATGATTTTCTCAACTTGGCATCCCCTGGTACAAGGTTTCCAGAAATGTCATCCTTCAGATGGGATATGGGAATACCCAGGTCCCGACTGCTCAAGGTTTGTCAAAGATTTCCAGGCCCGCGTTGAAGACAGCGGAGGGGCAGTGTCACCGGTGTTACTCGTGGTTAGACGTCTGGTCAGCACTTTCTCTGCCATTAGAAATGTCATCTCCAACTCCCACAAATGTTGCTTCACCGTTAACCGGGGTGACGTCGGGCGGTTGCCTCTGCTCTGCTCTGGAGTCAGGATTTCATTTCTGCTTTTTTAACAGGTGTAAGTCTGGGTAGTTAACAGGCATGGCCCAGGAACCCAAGGACATCTGTTGGCACCACGGCTGCCTGCACACAGGACGCAAACTTCAGACACTGTGTCTTTCCCCATCCACTCCTGCGACCCAGCCACGAAACCCGACCAGTTCTTTTCCCTGGGCCTCTGGGTGATTTCTGACCCTAATCCACCTCTTTGGGGAGGTTTATTAATTACTGTACTGGGGACAGCTCCGTGCCAAGAAGTTCAAAGCATCTTCCAACCTTGACCCATTAATCCCTTTAGCATCCCAGGGAGAGCGGAAGGCGATGGCTGAGTCCTGTGATTCCCGTCGCCTGCCGTTGCACACATGGTGGGGGATGGAGGCGGGGGAACTTGAGCAAGGAGAGCTTGGCCTGCACGTCCTCGGTGAGTCAACAGCAGGCCTGGAAAAGAAGTTGAGTTTCCCGACTGAGGCCAAGGGTCTCACTGCCAGCACAGGCTTCCTTCCTTACAAAACAGTTGTCATCCACGCCTCTCAAGATGTACCCGTCCCTCAGCACCCCATCCCCCAGCACAGGCCGCCTCGGTATCTTAGTGCCAGCAGCACTACCGCTGTTTACATTGAGCTCTGGAGAGCCGCATGTTATCATCGGGAGCAGCCAAACGTGGCCCTCTCCCCTCTCTGAGTATCCTCTGCAGAACACACCCTCCCCCACAAAAGGGTTTGGTCTTGGAGCAGAGGCCACATCCGTCACCTGTTCAGGGAGCACCACAGCTGTGCGGTCCCCGAGGGGGCTACCTACCAGGGCAGGGCAGCTCCCCGGGGTGCTCGGGGGACCCCCAGCCAGCGGCAGCTGGATAAGGAAGAAACAAGATGTTCTTTCTCCTGCCTGTATTTGCCCTGTACTCTTCAGATTCGACATTGTTTTTAATTTTCAGCCTAATTTTAGTCCAAGAACTTGGTGAGGCTGGAGAAGAGTCTTAAAACCTTTTTTTTTTTTTGTAAACAAGTGTACTTTTCTGGCCAGATGTTTCTTTTTTCCTGGTCTTACGGGGCTGCGCCATTGAGCTGTCCGGCTGAAACTGAATAAATCTTTGTTTTACGGCTTCTTTGGTCCTTTACAACTAAGAGCCTCAGGAAGGAATCAGATATTTTAATCCTCCTGGTCTTAGCCTTGAATGACCTCGCAAATGCACCATTAGCTAAGAAATCTTAGAAATATTTTTGTGGCTGACCTGAAAGCACATTAGCAAAGTCCCAGGCCCTAACGCTGGGATGGTTAATCACCCCTGGGATGGAATGACCAGGCAGAGGCTGTCCCAGCAGGGTGCCACGAAGCGTTGAAAACATTTCTTTTTTATGAGCTGTATGTCTTGCATGATTAGGTCTTCTTAGCAGTGACCAAGACGACCGTTACCTTCTGTCTCCAGCTGGATATCCTGTTTAAAATCCGACCCTGCATTTAAACGTGTGCAGAATGGGTCCTCAGCGCACCCTGCTGAGGTTGCTCGGACGGGTTCCTCCAGGAGGTGTGCTGGGGTGTGGGCTGACACAGCAGTACATCGCAGCTTGAGGTATGGTGAGATGCGTTCATGGTTTAGGGAAAGCAGAGGCTTATTCCAGCTATTTTCACTTCTAAAAGGGTCCTGGCAGAAGGACAGGCTTGTAAAATCTGCTGTGAGTGATACAGCTCCGGCCAACTGTGGAGCCCTCCAAGTGCTGGGGAGAGCAGGCAAGGAACCGGGCCTGGTTCTTGGACAGGTTTTCATGTCCTAGGAGGAAGAACAGTTATTGCTTAATCTTGAAAGTTGGGCTTTAGACCCTCAGTGTCACAGCAGACCACAGGGCTGGCGAGGTTACAGATGAGGCAGGGCCCCACTGCTCCTCCTGATTCCTCTGCCTCAGAGGCCTCCCTCCATGGCCCCAACCCTACCCCACGGCTGCAGCGTCCCATGCTGCGATGTCTTAGAACTTTGAGCAGAATGTCCCGTCTCTTGTTCTCTTCTCTGCGGAACTGTCTTTCCCTGGCCCCCACAAATGGGCTTGGGGCCATTGCCTTCCCTGTCATCCTTCCCTTTCCCTCCTCACTCACCACCCTTCCTCCCTCTCACGTCTAATCAGTCTTCGAACTGTGTCAGTTCTACGTCTGTGACATCTCATCACCATCTCTGCTCAAGTCTCTGTTACCTGGGCCACGTCCACAGCCTCCTAACGGCTTGTTTCTGCCTCTGATCTCTCTGAACCGCCTCTGCCTGCATGTGCTGCTGTTGACTCTTCCCAAGCTCAGCCCTGGCTGTGGCATGCTGCGTTCTTCCAGGAATCCCTGTTACCCTGGCGTCCAGTCCCTATGTCCACCCTTACAGGCTCAGGCCCCTCACCATGCAGCCCCAACTCACCTTTCTGGACAAGAACTCTGTACCTTCTGACCACTCTGGATAGAGGCTCTTGCTGCTCCTGTATCTTTCTTTGCCTACTTGATTTCTCCCGCCTGCATGGAGCCCCCTGCCACTCCCAACCCAGCTGAATGTCCAGAGGCCTTGCCGTTAGCTGCTGAGAGGAGGAGGTACCGGACCCAGATAGAAGAAAGTGTGGGAGGCTTATTTAGTTCTGAAACAAAAAGAAACCTGGAACCACACCAAAAACCAGGGAAGATATTTTGCTGTGGCTCCTTTAACGCAGCTGTTTAGACATGGGGACATTTTGGCAAGTCATTCTATGTTCAGCTATATCATTCTACTAAGCGTCATGTGACACGGACTCTCTGACCTCCCTGCGTCTCACCCCACTTTTGGGCTCACACCAGACGTGAGAAGGGTGGTGGGACACAGGGATAAAGTGGAGGTTAATCAGGCGTCAGAGAACCGGGCACCTGGGGCTTAGCATGCAATTCCCTGAAGCACAGCTGCAGCTTCTCTGCAGCCCCTCCCCTCAGGAAGTGGAGTCTGTTTCCTCCACCCTGGAATCCGATGGGTCTGTGACTTGTTCTGATCAATAGAATGAGGCTGGGGTATTTTGAGCCCAGGTCTCCAGGTGCCTTTCAGCTTCTCCATCCAGCTGCTCTGTGGATGCGGGCTAGCTTCACCAGGGGATGAGAGACCACGTGGAGCAGAGACCAGACCTCCCAGCTGCTCTGTGGATGCGGGCTAGCTTCACTGGGGGATGAGAGTGGACATGGGCTAGCTTCACTGGGGGATGAGAGACCACGTGGAGCAGAGACCAGACCTCCCAGCTGCTCTGTGGATGCGGGCTAGCTTCACTGGGGGATGAGAGACCACGTGGAGCAGAGACCAGACCTCCCAGCTGCTCTGTGGATGCGGGCTAGCTTCACTGGGGAATGAGAGACCACGTGGAGCAGAGACCAGACCTCCCAGCTGCTCTGTGGATGCAGGCTAGCTTCACTGGGGGATGAGAGTGGACATGGGCTAGCTTCACTGGGGGATGAGAGACCACGTGGAGCAGAGACCAGACCTCCCAGCTGCTCTGTGGATGCGGGCTAGCTTCACTGGGGGATGAGAGACCACGTGGAGCAGAGACCAGACCTCCCAGCTGCTCTGTGGATGCAGGCTAGCTTCACTGGGGGATGAGAGACCACATGGAGCAGAGACCAGACCTCCCAGCTGCTCTGTGGATGCGGGCTAGCTTCACTGGGGAATGAGAGACCACGTGGAGCAGAGACCAGACCTCCCAGCTGCTCTGTGGATGCAGGGTAGCTTCACTGAGGGATGAGAGAACATGTGGAGCAGATATCAGACCTCCTAACTGAGGCTCCCCAGCCGAATACCAGCATAAGAGGGAGGGTCTAATCTATCATTCAGCAGCCATTGGCCCACCAACAGACCACAGACATTTGAGAGCACCCAGTGGAGATCAGCCAAGCTGGCCCAGACCAGAACAGTCCAGCTGACCCACACAATTGTGGGCTTCATAAAGTGGACATCATTTTAAGCTGCTGGATGTTGAAGAGGTTTGTTAAGCAGCAAAGCTAACCATAGCAGTGCCACTGGTCATCTGAAGGAAGGCCTGTGCTCATTCCGTGTGAATTGGCCTACAGTGGTGTCATCTGTGTTGAGGATGGTCTGATCTCTCCTGTAGTATTCCAGGGATCTTGCTCATTGATTTATAATCAAGATATGGAATTGGCTGCTTAATAGTGGAAATTATTATGGTGTCCATTTGATCTCTGCCCTTTTTTGGCGGTAAAGTACAAATGACATATTTTTACCATTTTAACTGTTTTAAAATGCACAATTCGGTGGCATGAGGTACATTCACGATGCCACACAATCATTGCCACTATTTAGTTCCAGAACATTTTCGTCAAACATTTAGTTTTGTTCATAGGCATGAGTCCACGGTCGGACGCCCTCCACGATGCCCTGAAGGCAGTGGGGGTGGGGAGAGTGGTCTGCACCCGTTCCCTGGCTCTCCAGCCTGGGGCTTCTCATGCAGCTTCCTGGCTTCCCCTCTGGATGAAGCAGAAAAGCCCCTTACAGACTTGGAAAAGGGCTGACTATGGATTGGTCCTCACCCCTCATGAAACTGGAAAGGAAACCCCATAGCCATTAAGCAGCCATGCCCATTATTCTCTACAGCCCCCAGCCCATCCCAGCCCCCGGCAACTAGAAATCTACTTTCTATCTCTATAGATTTGCCTATTCTGGATGTGTTTTTCTTTTTTTTTTTTTTACTTTTTTTGAGATAGTCTCACTCCATCACCCAGACTGGAGTGTGGTGGCACGATCTCAGCTCACTGCAGCCTCCACCTCTGGGGTTCAAGCGATTCTCCTGCCTCAGCCTCCCAAGTAGCTGGGATTGCAGGCGTGCACCACCACACCCAGCTAATTTTTGTATTTTTAGTAGAGACAGTGCTCACCATGTTGAACTCCTGGCCTCAAGTTGTCCACGTGCCTCAGCCTTCCAAAGTTTTGGGATTACAGGTGTGAACCATTGCACCTGGCCTGGATGTTTCTTATAAAGGGAATCGTATGAAATGTGGTCTTTTGTGCCCGGCTTCTTTCATTTACTCACATTCATCAAAGCTCCCTCCTGGCATGTGCATCAGTGCCTCACTCCTTTTTATGGCCATACCTTCCTAGGGCCCCTGTGCCTTCCTGGCTGCTTGTATCTGTCAGCTGTATTGGGTTGTGTGTGTGCTGATGGCTGTGACGTGCTAGGTGCCTCTCTGGGTGTCTCACCTGGTTCACCTCTTTCACTCCTCACAGTCACTGATGAGCTCACTGTTGTTCTCATTTGCATTTGACAGGTGAGGGAACTGAGGAACAGAGTTTCAATACTTGACCCAATGCCATGCAGCTGGCACAAGGTAGCTCAAAGATTCCAGTTGAGGGAGTTTCATTCTGGCGCAGAGCTGTCCTGCTGGTTCCTGGATTGTGAAGGACATGAGGAGACTCTCTCTCTGGACCCTTTCATTCTCAGCTTCACGCTGCCTGGGAAAAAAAGCCATTGAACTGGTAGCAGTCCATTATATCCACAACACAGTTGTGTTATTTATTGTAAGATATTTACTATTTTTTGATGATAAAAATAATGCCCACTTATAAGAATCTAGACAAATCACATGTTAAGAAAAGAGAGAGCTACTGATAAAAAACAAAAAAGAAAAGATGTAGAAAATGGAACTGGAAAAGTGAAAGAAATACAGAAAATACAGGGGAACATCTATGATAACATAACTGTAGGGGTAAATGGGTTGAAATGTCCAGGAGACCTGGATGAACATTAACTGGTAAAAGAATAGACATTAAAAAAAATTTGACAAGGCCATTTTGACATAGAAGCATCAAAAACTTTCTGGTATCAGAACAGCCCTGTTAAGAGTCACTGGGTTAAAATGGACACACTGGATGCCCAGAGAAAGGAGGGTAATATTAACGGGAGCTGTCTTCCAACTTCTGCAGGGCTCAAAAAGAGGAAAATTGCACCAAATGGTATGTCAGGAGTCTGAATCCCAGGCACCTTGCTCAATACTTTTACAGGTAATATCCCATGAACTCTCCCCAGCCTCTCTCTAGGTTGGTGCTGGCACCTCCAGCACATAGGCGTGGGCCCATGGTGCGATGCCCTCCCCAGTGTCTTGGAGGTGCAGATCTGCACCCATTCCTGGCTCTCCAGCCTTCCACTCTTCTGCAGCTTTGTGGCTTCCTCTCAGGCGAAACAAGCAAGCCCCTTATGTCCCCACTGAGCTGGGGAAAAGGCTGAGTACGGATCAGTCCTCACCTCTCATGAGAAGTCCAAAACAGTTCAAAGATCACGTTCTACTCATGATCTCCTCCATGTTCATGTTACTTGCTGGTCAACGAATGTTAGCATCTTGTCTCCACCTTCTTGTTGCTTTTGAAACAATGTTCCCTTGTCCAACCCTGTGAAATGCCTTCCTTGACCAGCCCAGGCTCTGGTTGCGGTCGATTTATTACTATTTCTCCTTTGCTCCCCAATGATTAAGATGGGCTCATGAAATCTATGCACATGTGAAAACAAGAATAGATCAAGAAAGCAAGGCACATGGAGGCAAGGGTGCTTCCCAAGGAGCCCAGGAGAAGTCTGAGCACGGGGAGAAGAGCTGCCTGGGCCTCACAGCTGCTGGGGTGAGTGCTCAGCACACTGAGCCCAAAGAGCGCTGTGTCCACTCACAGAACAGCCACGGGTTTTCCTTTATTTGTTCTCCATTGGCACTGAGGTTTCTTCTCTAAGCCACTGACCAGGAAGGCTGGGGTGGATCCAGGCCACACAGGCCATGGTTCCACTGATGCAGCAGCATCCCTGACAGGCTGTTTGGCTGAAGGACACACACATGGTTGTGGCTGTGGTGACTCTAAATGATTACTTCATATCACAGGACACAGCCAGAGCTCTCTGCAAGGACACAGCAAATCACAGAGCACCAAAGAAGCCAAGAGAATTAGGGGTGGAAGTGGGGAAAGGCCCTTCATCTGGGGATGGTGGAAGGTACAGGAAGAAAGCCTAGAGAAAGCCCCAGGGAGGGATACCGTGCTTTGTGCAGCCATCAGCGCACTCATCAAACATAGGGCCCATTGGGTTTCCTTGAAAATGGATGGTGTATGTGTATGTTTTAAATATCTCTCTTTTTCCTTTTTTAGTAAAAATAATTAACATAGAGCAGATGGAACTTATGGCCAAACATATTGCCATGCATTTTCTAAAAATAGAATAATTATCATTATAAAACAAGAACATAAAGCAGAGATGCAGCTCAGGGAAGGTATGGCAAGAGAGAAGGAAATGAGGCATTCTCAAACTGGCAGAACTCAGAAAGATGTGAAAGGGAAACGTACAATCATTTACAGATATAAAGAAGAAGGGACACTGTCAAGAACATAGCATGTACATAGAGGACAGGATTGTGAAGAAAGTGAACAAAAGAAAATGGAAGTAAAGAGACTTTGAAAGGGACTTGAGTATGGGAAGGCAGTAAAAAGGATCCCAAATATTTGTACTTGATAAGTCTGAAGGATAAAAGAACTAAGATCATGAATGAAAAAATTTTAAATTAAAATTATAACTTAAGAAACATTTCTGGAAATAAAAAAAGACTTGAACCTATAGATTGAAAGAAAATATTGTGCCCCAGAGAAACTGCATACAGAGGTCAACACTAAGGCATTTCTGATGAAAGTAACTAAAACCTGATCCCTTTCCCTTGACTCTCTTTTTATCTTTGAAATCTGACTTGAGTCTTCTTCCCAGCTAGAAGAGAGAGGAGCTGGCCTATGATGTCCTCAAGAAAGTTGCTTTGTACCTAACTGTATTACGCCATTCATACACTGCTATAAAGAAATACCTGAGGCTGGGTAATTTGTAAATAAAAAAGGTTTAACTGGCTCACTATTGTGCAGGCTTTACAGGAAGCATAGCAGCATCTGCTTCTGGGGAATCCTCAGGAAGTTTCCATTCATAGCAGAAGGCAAAGGGGGAACAGGCACATCACAGCAAGAACAGAGCAAGAGAGAGAGTTGGGGGAAGGTGCCGTACATGTTTAAACAGATCTCATGTGAACCCAAAGCCAGAAGTCACTTATCACCAAGGAGAGGGCACAAACCATTCATGACAGATCTGTCCCTGTGACCCAAGTACCTTCCCCCAACCTCCACCCCAAACACTGGGGATGACATTCCAACATTAGATTTGGGTGGGGACAAATATGCAAGCAATGTCACTAACCAAACTGACATGCAAATGTAAAGACAACAGACACCTTTGAATATGTAAGAATTCAGGAAATACGGTTTATTTGAGCCTGTCTTGAAGAAACTAGTAGCCAAAGAATTTTAGCCAACCAAGCGACGAAAGAGGAGAATTAGCTTGGAGCATTGAATCCATGTAACTCTAGGGTTAAGATATAAGGTGGGCTGGGCGTGGTGGCTCCCACCATAATCTCAGCACTCTGGGAGGCTGAGGCAGGTGGATTGGTTGAGCCCAGGAGTTTAAGACCAGCCTGGGGAACATGGGGAAACCTCATCTCTACAAAAAAACACAGAAATTAGCCAGGTGTGGTGGCAGGCGCCTGCAATCCCAGCTACTTGGGAGGCTGAGGTGGGAGCATGAGGTGGGAGGATCACCTGAACCCAGGAGGGTTTGGTGATCAAAGGTTTGATGATCAAAAATGCCATGAGTCATGATTGCACCACCACACTCCTGCCTGGGTGAAAGTGAGACTGTGTCAAAAAAAAAAAAAAAAAAAAAGACATAAGGCGATGAAAATGTTCCAGGAGAGAGAGCGTGAATAGTGAGGGGGAGAAGAGCGAATGGCTGGAGAACACCGTGCGGGGGATGTGGGATGGCTCTGGAGCACAGGTGGAACTGCCTTCAGGTTGGGCATGAAACATTTCTCACTAGCCGTGGGAATGGAGGCTGAGTGTGTGGGTGCAGATGCCGGCATGCGGCTGGATGTGAGGATAGACATTTGGGAGAGTTCTCTGCTGGCTGCTGCTATTTCTCAGCAAAGTCTCAGCTGAGAGTGAGGATGGGAGAAGAGAGCTTGGGACATTGGAGGAGAAAGGGGAAAATATGAAATGGCCATTTGTGTAGTGGTGTCTAATTTACTGTTTGATCATCTATTATGGTAATTATTTCTGAAATTGTATTTTTCATCTCTCCAGGTTCCCAAGTTCTTCTTGGTATGTTTTCTTTCTTTCTTTCTTTCTTTTTAGAGATGAGGTCTCACTGTGTTGCCCAGGATGGTCTTGAACTCCTGGGCTCTAGTGATCCTCCCAGCTCGGCCTTCCAAAGTGTTGGGATCACAGGCGTGAGCCACTGCGCCAGGTTTTCTTGGTACATTTTCAGCTCTGCATGCTGGTTCTTTATATGGGCTCTTGTCCTGCCTTTAGAAATCCAGCCATGTTTTCTTTAAACATCACTATCCCATCTTCTGTTTCTGCTACTTCTGGTGTCTTAAGTCCTTAGGGGCTAAGTCTTTTTGCCGTTTCTACTTGATTCTCACCCATGTGGCCACCTCTTCTGTGCTTGGTGACCTTCATAAATCGGTATCTGCTTCTTTGGGGTGTGTGAGAATTCTGATAGCCCAGACTGGGAAGGGTTTTTCTCTAAGAGCAGCCAGCTCCCTGTCTTTGAGGGTCCTGATGCTGCAGGGGCCCCAGGGCCAACCCCCACCTGCTGCTGGCCAGCTCCCTGTCAGGGCATGCTCCCGTGGCTCGCGTCTTCAGGGAGGCCTCACCCTTCCCACATGCCTGTAGCTCTAGGCTGGTTCTGGTCCGGTTCAGTCCAGTTCTCTTCTTATGGGGTGTGTGTTTTGGGGTTGGGGCGAGGGGTAGAGAGTTGATCTTTAGGAATTTCCTTACTTCCTGTGAATCCAGCAATGTGTTTTCTTTTTGTCAATCCAGGAGCTGGTTGTCTCTCAGAGTCTTACAGAGATGAAGGAGAAAGCTTTGTTTTTACTTTAAATCCATTGGTACCTTTTGAAACTTGTACCATGGTTCTGTATCAGTCATCCTATCAAGATGAGAAACTAAAACGCACTAGACACATGGTGAATTATAGCAATGGCACACACGAGTCAGCACACAGAACACTAAGCAATACTTTTGGCTCTGACTCTGAGCAGGCTCCTGGCTGGCCATTCTGTGCCCCCAGCCCCCGCCCCCACCCATCACACTACATGTTTTATGCAGCAACCTCACCCTTTGCTTCCGTCCCTTTACTCACATTGATTCCTTTTCCTAGAATAGACTTTTTCCTAGTCCCTGCCTTGTCTGGGGCCACCCACTCCATAAAACCATAGCTTAGCTCACGTCCTCCTGCAGCCTGTCCTTCTCCCCCCATGCCTTGCCCTCACTGGCCCTGCCCTCCGAGTGTCTCTAGACCAGGACTTCTCTCTCTTCCCCTGTCTCCTGCAGCACTTGGGGGCTACTGCGTCTGGGCTGAGTAACACCCTTACCTTCTCCAGGTGATGCAGGACCCAGCCAAGGGAGGACGCACATTTTGTTGGGAGAGATGAATGAATGTGGGGTAACTTCAGGGCCCCCCATTCCTTTTCAGTCTTAGCCATCTAAGATGCTTTCTGGTGCTTCTGAAACAACTGCCTGCAAAAGCAAAACATGGAATGCAGAGAGGAGTGTGTTCTGGAACTTGTCAGGCCTGGGACACCCGAGTTACTGGCATCAGGAAGGGCGTTGGCTGGAGGTGCAAGTGGATTCCCATGAGGGTCCTCTTGGCGGTGCTGTTCTGGGGACTCATGGGAATGTGGGGGAGAGAAAGAATGTTCAATGAAGAATGAACTGTGGTTTTTGGGGGCAGAGTCAGACGGAGTTGCACTCCGCCTTTCTGGAACCCACAGAGGGGCCTCCATCCAAAAGGGAAGATGTTACATGAGTCAGCTCAGTTCTGGTCAAAAGCTGGAACCCATTGATCTGGATTTTTATCTATTTTCTGGCATCTTGGGGAACAAACAAGGGATCATTACAGCTCTATCTAACTCCTTGCCTCACCTTATGAAGGCTGGTGCTGGCCTAGTCTCTTCCACAGCTTCCCCTTGCAATTCTTGGGAAGGCCAAAGATCCCAGTGCATGCCTGAACTAGACAGAGGGAATGCACAAAGGGCTCCTTTAGAGACACAAATGGTTCACTTCTCTGTCCCTTTTTTTTCTGAGCAGCAGGAGGGTGGCATCTGGGATGGATGGAGATCATGCTTCCTGGCTCCTGGCTTTCTATCATCTTAGCTGTTTCTGCATCTTCCAAAAGGAAGCCTTGTTCAAGCCCTTGTTGGAGACCTGTCTCTATCCTTGTATTTACTGAGTCCTGTATTTACTGAGCACCTTTCTGGGGCCAGGCGTGGTACTGTGCACTAAGCCTAAAAGATCAAGCTTCCCAAAGCATCCCAGGAGTGACCCATGGATGAACAGTCACTCATCTCAGACCAGGCTGATAGTGAGTACCAGGCAGGCAGGTGTCTCAGACCCAGCTGCAGGATTCAAGAAAGGTGTCCAGGGGGAGCTGACTTTTGGGCTAAGTTTCTTCAGTTCAACAGCAGTTAGCTGAGCAAACGGTGGCAGCCAGGCAGGGCAGGCAGTGTGGGTGGGGGAGCTTGTATTAGCCCAAGTCCTTTTTAGCTGCCTGTAGAGTAGGCAAAGGCTGGATCCTTTAAGACCCACAAATATGCCATGCTGGCCGCAGCAACAGGCCTAAAAAGCTGGTTTTCTACTCCAAGACTATTTTTTAATATGAAAATGGCCATAGTATCACCTGTTTGATAGGGTTATACGTGAAGTTTTATAATTCATGTTTTGTAGCTTTACTGCAGTATAATTGGCTTTAACAGTAAGCTGTACATATTTAAAGTGTATAATTGTGTAAGTTATAACAACATCCATGAAACCATCACCAGGATCAAATGATGAACATAACCAACTCCCCTCAAAGCTTCCTTGAGCTCTTTTGAAATCTATCCCTCCATCCACCCCCATCCTCAGATAAACACTGATCTGCATCCTGTCATTATAGTTTTTATTTTCCAGAATTGCATGCAAATGGAATTATATAGTAAATATTTTTTGTCTGACTTCTTTCACATGGCATATTTATTTTGATATTCTTCTATGCTATTGATGGCAGCTGGCCTCTCCCTGCTCCCGGCACTTGCTCTGATTTCAGAGCAAAGTTGAAGCCAAGCCCAGGCACAGTCACAACCCAGCCATGAGCACGCATGCTTGGGGTGGCACTGACATGCCAGTCCCCTGCCACCACAGCCCCCTCTGGACTTTGGGCACTGATGAGCATGGGAGGGAGGCCAGTGGGGGCCTGAGGGTGGCTTGGCCTGGGCCTGCAGGTGCCCCTCGGCACAAACAGCCTGGGTGCCATGGATGACATGTAGATGGCGGCAGGAGGCAGACAAGCTTCTGGGTAGAAAGGGGTGGGTCCCTGGTGAAGCCCCACCTTCAAGCCAGGGATGATCTGAAGCATGGGGGCTGGGCTGTCAGTTCCTGGTGGAGTCCACAGCCTGGAGTGAGAACTTGTGGTGTTTTTCCATGCCCACTCATGGCTGCCCATGAACCAATCAGCTCACACTTCCTCCCTTCTGAAGCCCATAAAAACCTCAGACTCAGCCAGACTCAAGCAGACGTTGGGACAACCTGACTGCAGAAAAGAGCTACCCACTTTAGGTCTCCTGAGAGCTGTACTGTCACTCAGTAAAGCACCTCTTTGCCTTGCTCACCCTCCAGTTGTCTACATACCTCACTCTTTCCAGACATGAGACAAGACCTTGGGGCCTGCTGAATGGTGGGACTGAAAGAGCTGTAACACAAACAGGGCTAAAACACATCCTCTCCTCTTGCGACGTTGTGAGCGATGAGGAATGAAGAGCTATGGCCCTTCAGGGAGCCCAGACCTAGGGGCTGTGACACCCTCTTTGGGGCTCTGTGGCTTCTGGCATCTCCAAGCTTCTGGGCACCACCATGTTCCCCTCATCCAGATGTGGGTGTCCATAGTGGAAGCTGCTTGTGGTGCATCTGATCCAGCTGCAGGCTTGCATGGAGCCAGTGCCTGTGCCAGAGCCTGGAGCTATCTGCCCTGCTGCAGCTTCTAACATGTCTGGCTGTGTGCAGTGACTAGACCTGCATATGCTCACTCACACACCCCTTACTGCTCCACACCTGGCTACCTCTTGGCAGGCATGGGATCCAGGCTGTTAGCACAAGCTGAGCATAGCATGCCAGGCCAAGTGGGCAGAATGAGCTCAGTGGGCCTGAGCAAAACCCAGACCAAGGTGCTACAGACTACAGAGGCTTCTGGTTGGAAAAGTGATACCCTGAGGATCCTGTGACACTATCATGCATATGTTCATTCCTTTTCTTTCCATTGTTAAGTAGTCTTCCATCATATGGATATACTGCAATTTGTTTATCTGTTCACCTGTTGATGGACATTTGTTGGTTCCAGAGTCTCACTATTACAAATAAAGTTGTTATATTTGTGAGCAAATCTTTATGTGGCCATATGCTTTCATTTTTCTTGAGTACATACCTAGAAGTGAAATGGCTATATCATATGATAGGTGCTTGTTTAAATTTTTAAGTAACTGCCAAACCATTTTCCAAAGTGGCTTATGCATTTTATAATCCTACCAGTAGTATACGAAAATTTTAGAAGCTCCACATCCTCTTCAGCACTTAATAGGCCAGGCACAGTGGCTCATGTCTGTAATCTCAGCACTTTGGAAGGCCAAGGCGGGCAGATCATTTGAGGTCAGAAGTTTGAGATCAGCGTGGCCAAAATGGTGAAATCCTATCTGTACTGAAAATACAAAAATTAGCCAGGTGTGGTGGTGGGTGCCTGTAATCCCAGCAACTCAGGAGACTGAGGCAGGAGAAATGCTTGAACCTGGGAGGTGGAGGTTACAGTGAGCTAAAATCATGCCATTGCACTCTAGTCTGGGCAACAGAGTGAGACCTCGTCTCAAAAAAAAAAAAAAAAAAAAAAGAAAGAAAAGAAACCCTTAATATAATCCATCTAATTTAGCCAATCTAGTGGATGTATCTCATTGTAGTTTTCTTTTGCATTTCCATAATAACTAATAATACTGAATATCTTTTAATGTGCTTGCTTGCCATCTTTTTTGATAAAGTATGTAACTGAATATTTTGCTCATTTTTAATTGGATCACTGAACTGTAAGAGTTCTTTTTACATTCTAGATTCAAGTTCATTGCTGGATATATGCTTTTTGGATATTTTTCCCCTATATTTGAAATATCTTTCAATTTTATAGGTCTATTTTGAAGAGTTTTTTTTAATGCAAAAAGTATCCAATTTATTTATTTATTTTTTTCTTTTACATTTCATGCCTTGTGTGGTATTTAAGAAATATTTGCCAAACCAGGATCACTAGAATTTCTTCTAGAAGTTTTGTAGTTTTAGTTTTTATATTTAGGATTATGCTCCATCTTGAGTTAATTTTTCATGTGGTGTGAAATATCGAAGCTCATTTTTTTAACTTTGTATATGGTTATTCAATTTTCCTAGCATTATTTATTTGAAATATTATTCTTTCCTCATTGGTTTACCTTGAAACTTTTGGTGGACATCAATTGGCTATATATGTCTGGGTCCCTTTTGGGCCTCTGTTATGTTGAATTGTTCCGTATGTCTATATTTACATCAATACTATAGTTGTCTTAACTATTGTGGCTTTGTAATAAGTCTTAAAATCAGATGGTTTAAGTTGTCCGACTTTATCCTTTTTAAAAAAGGTTTCATTGTTGTGTGTCTATTCCAGGTGCATTTTAATACAAATTTAGAAATTTGTTCATCAAATTTTATAATAGGCCTATAGAAATTTTGATTGGGATAATATTGAATCTGTACATTAATTTGGGGAGAACTGACATCTTAGCGACATTGAGTCTTCTAATCCATGAATATAGTATATCTCTCCATTTACACAGGTCTTCTTTATTTCTTTCAGCACTGTTTGGTTGTTTTGGGTGTTGTTTGCACATCTTTTATCAAATCTAATCCCAAGTATTTTATCTTTTTTGAAGACATTGTAAATGATTTTGAGTTTCAATGTCTTTTTGTTTGTTTTTAATATATAGAAATGTAATGCATTTGTACTGACCCATATCTTGCAAGCTTGCCAGACTCACTTCTTAGTTCTAGTGGCTTTTTTGGTAGATTCCTTAGGATTTTCAATTTAGAGAGTCATTTCATCAGCAAATATGACAGTTGACTTCTGCTTTTCAAATCTATATGTTTTTTATTTCTTGTCTTTGCCCTATTGCGTTAGCTAGAACCTCCAATGTAACATTGAATGAAAGTGTTAAGAGCAGACATCCTTGTCTTGTTTCTGAACTTAGGGGGGAAATCATCCAGTCTTTCAAAATTAGATATGATGTTAATTTCTAGATATTTTTGTTGATGCCCTTTATCAGGTTGAGGAAATGCCCTCTAATATAAATTTGCTGAGAGTAGTTATAAGGATGAGATATTAGATCTTGACAGATGAATCTCCTGCATGGATTGAGATGATCCTATATGGTTTTCTCCTATATTTGCCAATATGGTGAATTACATTATTTGATTTTCAAATGTTAAGTCAATGTTGCATTACTTTATAACTCCCCTTGGTCATGGCATATCATTCTTTTTGCGTATTGTTTGATTCAATATGCTCAGATTTCTTTAAGAATATTTGCATCTGTGTTCATAACATATATTACTCTGTAGTTTTTTTGTAATACT